CACACACACACACAGTGGGGGCACAGATAAATAATACAGAAGCCAGCCTGAAGTGTCTCCATTTTGGCAATCTGAGATATTTTAATTATCCACGTAAATAAAGACAGTAATATCATCAAATAACATAGGAATCCATGGATCCACAGTAGGGACAGATAAATAGAGGAAAGAGTCCTTCCCTAGAGCAGAATGACAACGTGGAACGAGTGCTGGAGTTGTGAAGTCGTCATTTTGCCTCCATTATAGTAAATACTGGTTTAGCAAGAATAATCAATAGATGGATATGAAGGCCAGGGCTAGAGGGTGAGACTGATGAGTTTGTTTCAGATCCCATAGATTGCTTATTAGTTTCAAGGGGGAAATTCGTAAGTATACAGCAGAGAAACCAGACAACACATTGACCAGCGATCAAAATTAACATCATGAAAGAGGGGAAGGTGGACATCCTGTGACTCTAGATGTGACACCCTAAAGAGGACTCAATACCATTTTTGTAGCTTTCTGTCCAGGAAGACATTGCCTGAATCTAACTATGAAAAAAAGTCAGACAAACAAATATTCAGAAATATTCTATGAAATAACTTGTCCATGGTCTCCAAAATATCACCCTCACTGGCTGGCAAACTATTCCAGATGACAGAGTACAGAAACATGGCAACTTCCTGTAAGACTAGTCTCGTACTGAAGGGAAAAATACTATATAAACGTTATGAGGAAATTGTCCAAATTGTAATAAATTGTATGTTTGGTAAAACTATTGTATCAATGCTAAATTTACTGAGTTTAATGACTATACTGTGGTAATGTAAGTTACTCAAATTTTTCTTATAACTTTTCTATAATTTGAAACTATTTTAAAATAAAACATTTAGAAAGAAGAAAGCATGTAAGAAATTTGTTATACTATTCTATTCCAATAATTCATAGTACATTATAATAAATTATTTTGCACAAATACATACATAGAACAATAGATATTTACACCAAATTATTAGCAGAAAACCAAATTAATGATGCAAATCAGTTAAATTTTTTATATGTATGATGGCTGAATTTCCCCCTATCATGATCTAATTTATTTTTAATATACTTGTTCCAACTTTGTTCTGGTCCTATCCATCTGCATCCATTCTAATTTCAATTTTTTTTATAACTAGCATTGCAAGTTATGTGTGCAACTGTTTCAGTTAATTAAAAAATGGATAATACTGGAAAACTGGACCACACTTCTGATTAACTCTCCTGGATTAATTAAATAAATGTAGTAGAAATATGGTCCAGGTTTCCAGCATTATTATCAATAATAGGAAGTAAAGCTTTTTCTTTTTTAAAGCTAGTATCTGCCACTATATTGACTTGTTCTTTTATTTCCTTATTATTGAGAACTAAACCATCTACACTGGTGAAACTGTTTTTTAACTACTGAAAAGATAGAATAAAAGTTGTTCTACAAATGACCTCAGGGTTTTATACATGCTCAGATGTCCCAAGCTGGACTCTATGCTCTATTCTTAGACTTCCCGAAAGACATTTCTACTATATGCAGTATTTATTCTGTTTTTTGAGCTAGAAAGCTTGGAGCTTCTTTTTCCAACACCCATCCAGTCAGACATCTTAGTGAGGCTCCATCAAAAGTCTGTCGTTATTCTGCCCACGTGAAATTGCCCATCGCTTCCCAAACATCACAGGTTCCTGCTACAACTTTGTGCTTTTGTACCTGTCGTTAATTGCACACCCTCTCCTGTGCTCCAAGAGCAA